GGGCACTTCTCAGTGGTGGATTCACCATTCAGTAGGATAGGTCTCTTGAGGCAAAGGGTCAATGGGAAGAATGACTTTTTAACAAGACTGAAGTGCTCTAAGTTAGAAATCCTGATTCTGGGTCAGTGACTCAATATACTGAAGCAGTGTCACAGCCAGCCAACTAGCATTTTCTAATGGGGTCAGCAATGGCAATCTTCATGTTTCCCTTGTGACAGGTTTTCTTTAGCCACCCAGGGAAAAGCAGGAAGATCATATAATAGGCGCCCTCCATAACTGCACATACCTTTCCTTCAATCCACGACCAGTGATTAGTGATGGGCTTGATGTTCATGTTGAACGTAAGTTTGACTCGAGCATCAGCCATTCATGTGTTCGCCAAACACGCGAATGGTAAGCCCCACAATGCCCTGCGCTCTCACAGTGCATTGTGATTGGTCAAAGCAATGTACCTGACCAAAGGTCAGATGCCGTGCTTTGGCCAATCACAGCACAATTCAGTGGTGCTAGTGGTGACTTCACTGCTAGCTCCACCCAGTTGTTTACAGCTGGGAAATGTCAGATTGGGGCGAGTGATCGGCGGGTGCAGACAGGTCAGCGGGCATCGGGGTTTTTTTATTTTGGTGAGTCAGCGCAATCGTGACAACACTGGATGCCATGATTGATGATGGATTACAATGATGGAACCATTATTTGGCTTTTTTTTAACGGACTTGTCTAAAACTGTTTTGTTTTTTGTTCAATAAAGGAATTTTTCAAAAGTTTGGCGTCTTTATTTTTTAACCCTTTAGTGAATGGGTAGGGCACAAGTACCCCTTACTCATTCCCAAGGGGGGGGGGGGGTAGAATCAGGGTGCCCCTTATTTAAAGGGGTACCCTAATGTTAATGAGCTCCACTGCCCGCAGACCCCCACAACCACTGGGCCAGGGTTGTGGGGGAAGAAGCCCTTGTCCTCATCAGCATGGGGACACTGTCCCCATGCTTAGGGTACAAGGCCTGGTAATCCACAAGGGGGAGGGTGCTTATTCACCCTCCTCCCTTTCCTGCCCTGCCAGGCCTTGGATCATGTGTCTGGTAGGAATTTAGGGGGGACCCCATGTTTTTTTTCCATTTTTGGGGGGAAGGGTTCCCCTTAAAATCCTACCAGGCAGGGCTTTTAGGGTTAACCCCACACACATATTTAATTTTTTTCCTGTGGGGTCCCTCCTTATTTTCCTACCAGACCTGAAGGGTCTGGTAGGGATTGTGGGGGGACCCCACGCTGTTTTTTATTTTTTTTTTTAATAAAAATATCATATCAAAAAAAAAATAAAAATGTCGGTCCTGCTGCAGCAGGTTCTCTACATTGTACAGATGTGCAACTTTGCAGGTAGTTTAAGGCCCCCCCCCCCCCCCAGGCATGATATTGAAAGGATTTTCTTTTTTTTTTTCTTACTTTACGCAATAAAAAATGGCTGCCCCTTTAAAAAAAAATAGTACTTTTTGAAATGTATTTTTTCCCTGATGCCTCAGGGCAATACCCGAGTCCCCATACCCCTTTTATGGTCAGTAACTTGCATATAAGCCTTCAAAATGGGCACTTTTGAATTCACAAGTTCAAGTTCCACAGACTTGTATTGTTTGAAGTTTGCGGTGGAACATTCATTAGGTTTGAATGTTTGACCAAGAACCGAACACGGGGGTGTTCAGCCCATCACTACCAGTGATTTGGCCACCAGACGAGAAAAGAAAAGCCTGTGACTTCCAAGTACTGGCAGCATGTGACTTTTCCTCCTACGTAATAGCATTGACGCTGTGTGTGGTGATTGGCCCCAGTGCTGTCACATGGGGGTGGAGAGTCTTCAACTCAGTGTAAGCTTTACATCACAAATTTGCATTTACTGAGAAAAAATAATAAGCATTCTGTTAATGGTGCCCATGCTGAGCAAGCAACCCCCTGTGGTAACTATGCAGCAGAGAAAGACATTCACCTTCAGAGCCGGGAACGAGAGTTGGGCTTTGTATACACAGTCAGGCAGCCCACAGCCTCTCACGGATCCCACCTGGTCCCCATGCCACGTGTTTCCCTTCTTCCATCCCTTCTTCCGGGGGGGCAGCGCTGCCCCCCCTGAAAAATCCTGCCTTAGGCAAATGCCTTGTTTGCCTCACGGTGAATGCACCCCTGACCCCTGACATATTTCACCCTGCCCCCAAGACTTATTCATAGAGGTCATGTCAGGGGGCGTGGCCTAGGAGGAGCCAAAGCTGCGGCCATTTCTTACTTTTGTTGGATATTGAGCTGTTGGTATGTGGCGTCTTCACACTACATATAAATACTGTACTTACATTGGTCCAAGCTAGACCAATGTCTTTATGCATTAAAAATCCATACCTGAAGGTAAACGTTAAGGCTAGGTTCACATTTCCGCGCTCCTGCGGGCCGCGTTCTGCGTGGACACGAGAGCCCGTTCATTTGAATGGACTCCCGTACTCCGGGACACTCAGAGAAGAAGTCTCTGCACTTCTTTGGAAAACGCAGCCCGCAGAGGAACCTCAGTTCTCAGTACGGTTGCGATTTCCAGTGTGGGTGGCGTGCCATTAGAAGTAATGGCACCTGCCCGCGGGTCCGCATTCCTCTCTGCGAGTGGTACGGTTGCACGGATTTTTGTTCGGATCTGCTGTGGAACCAACTACACAGATGTGAACCAGGGGTAAAGGAACCTGTTGCTTTGCTCAGCATGGGTGCAGCACAGGTACACTTTAAGGCTCGGTTTGTGAGTAGAAGGTCAAGACTGGTTTACTTTAAAGCTCCAGGCAGATATATAAGACACAGATCAAGCACTTCTGTAGTCAATAATACATCAATCAGTGTATTTTGTATAATGCAAGAAGTGTAATGAATTAGGCTTGATAGTAGCCTTTCGCAAGTGACAGAGCATAAAGAGTCAATCAGTCCACGCTGACAGGAGGAGAAAGCAGAGTGACAGAGAAAAGATCTCATCACTGTGCCGCTTCTGTTTCACTGTGTCAAGTTGGGGACGGGTCCAGTGGCGTGTTTAGGTTTTGTGCTGGCCTAGGCAACACAAAAATTGGCGCCCCCTGCAGAGAGAGCCTGATGTTGACCAACAACACCCATGCCTCCCACTTGAGAGAACCTTCCACTACCACTGCCCCCCATACACCAGCCACCATCTCCCATGGCGAGAGAGAGAAAGACACTCACCTTCACAGCTCCGGACATCCCCAGGAACGAGAGTCGGGCTGTGCATACACTGTCATGAAACCCTCAGCCTCTCTCAAAATCCACCAGGTCCCCATGCCGTGCGTGTCCCTTCTCCCGTCCCTTCTTCTGAGGGGCAGTGCTGCCCCCCCTGAGTCAGGCTCTGCATACACAGTCAGGCAGCCCACAGCCTCTCGCGGATCCCACCTGGTCCCCATTCTGCGTGTCTCCCTTCTTCTGAGGAGCAGTGCTGCCCCCCCCCCGAGTCAGGCTCTGCATACACAGTCAGGCAGCCCACACTCTCTCGCGGATCCCACCTGGTCCCCATTCCGCGTGTGTCCCTTCTTCCGGGGGGCAGTGTTGCCCCCCCCGAGTTAGGCTCTGCATACACAGACAGCCCACAGCCTCTCGCGGATCCCACCTGGTCCCCATTCCGCGTGTGTCCCTTCTTCTGAGGAGCAGTGCTGCCCCCCCCCCCCGAGTCAGGCTCTGCATACACAGTCAGACAGCCCACACCCTCTTGCGGATCCCACCTGGTCAATATTCCGCGTGTGTCCCTTCTTCCGGGGGGGAGTGCTGCCCCCTTTAAAAAAATGCCGCCCTAGGCAAATGCCTTGTTTGCCTCGTGGAAAATACACCCCTGGGCGGGTCTATGACAGCCTTGTGGCTGTCATGTGGATTGAATGGTGCTGGCCACCAGACTGAGGACATCTAGTGGTGGAAAGGAAGTATTGCAGGGGACAGTTTCTGAATGAAGATGAGCAGCAGAAGTTACATTTTACTTCATCATTTGACGGGCTATTCATTCACTTGACTCGAGTTCTGTTTTAAGACCCAGTTACAAAAAGCCTTCCCTGTCTATTAGCGTATGGTCATTGCTCCGGGTCATACTTGGTGTACTCACGAAGTGCTAACGTAAGCGTACTGTAATGACATGTCTGTAAGCAACTACAAATCATTACTGAGTCCTGGCCTTTTTTTTTTTTTTTACGAACATCTACATAGACATCTGCTGACCCTGTATAGCCCCACAACCGCCATATAAGACCCTCATTGCTTTGCCTGGAATATCTCCAGCTAAGAAACACCTTTTCATAAAATGGAATTAATTCCATGGGGGGGATGGGCGGTGATGCCGTCATACGGAAACAACACTTTCAAGTATTCCGCTGAAAGACAGAACTGGTTTATCGGAATCTGCCATAGCGAAAACACGGCTGTCAGCTCGTCAGATTATCAAAGCGGATGTGTAGACGGAACGCTCATTAGAGATAGCGAGCCGCGGCCTTACTCCCCCTTCCGCCACTGACCTTCAGCCGGATTCCCCCTCCAGGCCATCTCATAGATGTTTCATCCGCACAACCATGTTATTCCACTCATTATTCTTTATTTAACTCCCCCCCCCCCATTCAATGGGCTGGCTTGGAATCAATTAAAAGGTGGCATGAGAAGCCTTTGTACTTATTAGCTGGACCTGGGCGCATTGCTTAGTGCGCTTGCTGATCGCGTGTAATCGTGACGAACGTCTGCGACGGGGGAGTGGAGGAGGCCATAAAATGTCAAGGTATTAAAAGATTCCTCTTGCTTCAAAATCTGCCCGAGATTTGCCATGAAGGCGGTGAATGCCAAATGACAGCAGGCTGCGCCGTCCTCAGGCAGTCCCAAGTGAAAAGGAGAATTTACAAAAAAAAATACCGCTTTGAATGGAGCATGAAATAGTCTGATTCAGGCATAAACCATCTTTGGGTGAATTGTGGCACTACACACTCCAGCACTGCCTTTAATTAAAGTCTTACTGAACCCCGGACCCTGAATTCACTATATCCACTCTTGCCAGACCCTGCATTCACTATATCTGGTCTCCCCGGACCCTGAATTCACTATATCCGCTCTCCCCAGACCCTGCATTCACTATATCTGGTCTCCCGGTACCCTGCATTCACTATACCCGGTCTCCCGGGACCCTGCATTCACTATATCTGGTCTCCCGGGACCCTGCATTCACTATATCTGGTCTCCCAGGACCCTGCATTCACTATATCTGGTCTCCCCGGACCCTGCATTCTATCTGGTCTCCCCAGACCCTGCATGCTATCTGGTTTCCCCGGACCCTGCATTCTATCTGGTCTCCCCAGACCCTGCATCCTATCTGATCTCCCCAGACCCTGCATTCGCTATATCTGGTCTCCCTGGACCCTGAATTCACTATATCCGCTCTCCCCAGACCCTGCATTCACTATATCCGCTCTCCCCAGACCCTGCATTCACTATATCTGGTATCTCACCAGGACCCTGCATTCACTATATCTGGTCTCCCCGGACCCTGCATTCACTATATCTGATCTCCCCAGACCCTGTATTCACTATATCTGGTCTCCCCGAACCCCGGATTCACTATTTTCGGTCTCCCCAGACCCTGCATTCACTATATCTAGTCTCCCCAGAAACTGCATTCACTATATTCGGTCTCCCCGGACCCTGCATTCACTATATCTAGTCTCCCCGGACCCTGCATTCACTATATCCAGTCTCCCTGGACCCTGCATTCACTATATCTGGTCTCCCGGACCCTGCATTCACTATATCTGGTCTCCCCGGACCCTGCATTCACTATATCTGGTCTCCCTGGACCCTGCATTCACTATATCTGGTCTCTCCAGACCCTGAATTCACTATATCTGGTCTCCCTGGACCCTGCATTCACTATATCTAGTCTCCCACAGTACACAGAACATGGAAATGCAATTATTTTAGTAAATATAAACTGCTAAATACCTTTTCTCATCAGCAGTATATAGCAGTCTTGTGACTTCTTTAAGTGTCCAGCAGAGCACTGGTTAAAGCTTGTAGGAGGAGTTTTCTTTCTGTTCTACGAGGATGCAGAACGCCTGACCTGTGTCTGGACAGTGCTGATTAGCCCTGCTGATCACATGCACTCTCCCAAGAAAAAAAAAACCTCTGGCAATACACACCAAACTGCACATGTGCAGAGTGTCTCCACACGCTATGTCTTATCAGGAGACAAGAGGGGGGCACTGGAAGAAGGGGAGGATCACAGAAGACAGGATCAAACAGCATTTTTACACAATGCAGTGGATTAACCCTTAGGTTCCACAGTGAGTATTACAAGCATGCTTAACTGCATATACAGACTGATTGTACTGTTGTGGGTTTAGTAACACTTTACGTTCAGTTGCAAAAGGACCCATACTGATTCTGCAGTTTTCTGGGTAAGGCTTCGAGCAACTTAAATTGCACTTCCCTTGCAAAACGCAAAAAAAAGTGGGTAAAGGTTATCAAATATACACCAATCAGCGGCAACATTATGACCACTGGCAGGTAAAGTGAACAACGTTGCTTATCTCATTGCAATGGCCCCTGAAAGTGAGTGGGATATATGAGGCAGCAAGTGAACATGTTGTCCCTGAAGTTGATGTGTTGAGAACAAAAAAAGTGGGCAAGTATAAGTTTCAAGCAACGTTGACAAGGGCCAAATTGTAATGGCTAGGCAACTGGGTCAGAGCATCTTCAAAACTGCAGCTCTTGTGGGATGTTCCTGGTCTGCAGTGGTCAGGACCTACCAAAAGTGGTCCTAGGAAGAAAAAACTGATGAACCAGCAACGTGGTCATGGGTGGCCAAGGCTCACTGATGCACATCTGGTCTGTGTAGTCCAGTGTTTCTCAACTCCAGTCCTCATGGCCCCCCAACAGGTCATGTTTTCAGGATTTCCCTCAGATGAAACAGCTGTGGTAATTACTAAGGCAGTGAAACTGATCAAATCACCTGTGCAAAATAATGGAAATCCTGAAAACATGACCTGTTGGGGGTCCAGGAGGACTGGAATTGAGAAACGCTGGTGTAGTCCGATCCCATAGAAGAACTACTGTAGCTCAGATTGCTGAAAAAGTTATTGCTGGTTCTGATGGAAAGATGTCAGAACACACAGTGCATCGCAGTTAATTGTGTATGGGGCTGCATAGCTGAAGACCAGTCAGGTTCCCCATAACCTGTGTCCACAACCATTAGCCCCTACAATGGGCATGTGAGCATCAGAACTGGACCAGAGAACAATGGAGGAAGGTGGCCTGGTATGATGAATTCAAGAATGATTTCAGAAACACAATAACAAGTCGGAGGTGTTGACTTGGCCTCTAAATTCTCCAGATCTCAATCCAATCGAGCAACTGTGGGATGTGCTGGAAAAACTAGTTCAATCCATGGAGACAACCATCCACTTCGCAACTTACAGGACTTAAAAGATTAGCCAGTCAGTTTAGAAAAGCCACAATGTGCATGTACCCTAAAAATAACCTGCCTGGGGGATACCCTGAACTTGGCTGTGAAGTGGCATATCTGTGCAATGTAAACACCATACTACGGCAAAACTGACATTTACAAAAAAAAAAAATACAATTTGGAGGTAGTATAAATGAACGATTTCAGGTACCTGAATGAGCCATCCATTGAGCCCACACTATTTGAAATGCATCAAGGCAGCCCCTATAGTCATACATATATTTCTTATTGTTAAAGGGGGCTTCAGATTCTGATAAGCCCCCCACCTGCAGTCCCTCACAACCACTGGGCCAGGGTTGTGGGGAAGATGCCCTTGTCCTTGGCATGGTACGGCTTAGGAGGGGGATGCATGTTGCCCCCCTTCCCTTACTGGCTTACCAAGCTGCATGCTCCAGTAAGGGTCTGGTATAGATTTTTGGGAGGGACCCAGGGTTTTGTTTTCTTTTTTTTTGTGGGGTTCTCCCTTAAAATTCATATCAGACCCAAAAAAGTCTGATATGGATTTTGGGAGGATCCATTTATTTATTTAATTGTTTTTGTGTTGGATCCCCCTTGACATCCATAGCAGACCCTCATCAAGAATGATGATCTAGTATGTAGTTTTAGGGATAGTCCCAGGCCATATTTTCTTTTTATGTTGGGGTCACCTATTAACATCTATACTGTTTGTTTACAAACAAAAGTAAAACATGCAAATGTAATTTACTGGTAATTTAATACACTTTGTATTTATAGACCTGTCCCTCCAAGAGGCCAGACTCTTCTTGCGTCTCATGTTTATACTGTATCAATGTAACTGAAATTTCTACATTTTTGGGTCGCCTACATTGCCACCCAATAACAAAGATATTGTATTATGGCACTGCCATTATGTTTCTTTGTAGGAAGCTTACTTTCCTATAGAGAAGGAGCAGCACAGTGGCTTAGTGACTAGCCCTTGTACCTTGCAGCACTGGGGCCCCCAGTTTGAATCCTGGTCAGGACCCTTTGGCTTGAAACCAGCTTTAACTCAATCAGCTCTTTTGAACAAGTACAAAGAAATGGGCAACACTGAGGACCATAGACACAAGGGTTGGCCAAGGAAGCGTAATGCAGCAGATAAAAGACACATCATGTTTACCTTCCCTTTAGATATCCAGCAGTGCCATCAGCACAGAACTGGTGGAAACCAGTAGAACCCAGGTACACCCATCTACTGTCCAGAGAAGCCTGACCAGAAGTGGCCTTCATGGAAGAATTGTAGACAAAAAGCCAAACGTCCTATGTGGAAACAATGCTAACTGATTCAACTATGTACAAAAGCATAGGAACTGCGGTGCAGAAAAATGACAGCAGGGGCTTTGAACCAATGAGTCAAAATTTTAAATATTTGTCTGTAGCAGAAGGCAGATTGTTTGTGAAGGGCTTGAGAGTGGTACAATAATGAGTGTCTGCAAGCAACAGTGAAGAATGGTGGAGGTTCCTTGCAAATTTGGGGCTACATTTCTGCAAATGGAGTTGGATATTTGGTCAAGATCAATGGTGTCCTCGATGTTGAGAAATACAGGCAGATACTTATCCATCATGCCGTACCATCAGGGAGGTGTGTGATTGGCCCCAAATGTATTCTTCAGCAGAACAACCACCCCAAACGTACAACCAATGTCATTAAGAACTATCTTCGGTGTAAAGAAGAGCAAGGAGTCCTGGAAGTGATGGTTTGGACCCAACAGAGCCCTGATCATGGAGTCTGTCTGGTATTACAGGAAGAGATGGTAGGATCTGAGGCAGTCTACATCCACAGAAGATCTGTGGTTAGTTCTTCAAGATGATTGGAACAACCTACCTGCCGAGTTCCTTCAAAAACTGCACACAAGTGTACCTAGAAGAACTGATCCTGTTTTGAAGACAAAGGGTGGGCACACCAAACATTTATTTGATTCAGATTTTTCTTCTGTTCATTTACTTTCCATTTTGTTAAATTATAAAAAAATCTTTCTGATAGCATTCTTAATTTACAGCATGTATATGTATATATATATATATATATATATATATATATATATAGTGTTTGAGTACACTTGAATAAGCCATTGCATTTCCATGTATTGCTTCTGAAAGTGTTAACGTATTTTGGGTGAGCCTAAGCGACTTAGACGGACGTCTCTCCTCAGCTTCTCCAAGCTACGACGAGATGGAATTTGCTTTACAATTTCAGTCAATTAAGTCTGCCGTGGTGTCACTCATATTTGTGACAGCTCTGTTTACATAAATCTGAAAATTCTAGAAAAAAAAACCCACAAATCTGCATCATTCTTAATTGTGATGCGGCCCGTTGAGCAGCAGGGATATTCACACTCACTGGTCTGCCCGGGAATTGGGAATAGAAATAAGCAATTGGCCAAGGTAGAATCAGGAATCAGATAAGTCTTTGGGGTTGAATTTCAGATGTGGATGGACAAGACAGCAGTAGGGCCACAATTAGCTCAGGGGACACTTTATTAGATGTAATTGATTGTAAATACAAATATCAAACAGTGAATCATGTGGATGAAATTCACTATATAAAACATGCAGACATAATTGTGTATTTGAGCTGTTCATCCAAATATTGAAATGGGGATGGAGGGTGGTGGCACTAGGATCCCTGACACCTTTGTCCTCCTACAAGGAAGTCTCCTACAGAGCCTGGAGTTTACTATGAGTGCTGCAAAATCAAGAAGCACCCAGTGAGTGGCAGATATGAGAGGAAATGATGTTGTTAATGAGAGAGGTCAAAGAGAATGGACAGGTTTGTTCAGATTTACAGGGAGAAGTCAGCTATCCAACCACCTGTTGTTTTACCCCCCAGAGCAGTGATGATCAACTTTCTAGATATAGGGGGCTTCAACTGTGGTCCCCAACATCCCGAAGGAGCCTCACGTAATATTCAGTATATGAAGTGTTATGTTAGATTGTCAGAGACTGCTGGAGATATACAAATTGAATCAACATTAATAAAATACCAGGTGGTCATCTTAAGATTCCATAATCATTTTTTGCTGGTGACAACACGACAACAGGAAGCTAAAATGTAGCCAACACATTTCGGGGGCCAACAATCCCCTTTTTCAGGGTTATGTCAGGGAAAGAGCATTGGTAGTCACTATGAATGGATGCTGAAGATCTTCATGCAGCTGTCCCTGGAAGACACTGGATACCTTTTATTTTCTGATTGTCATATTGTCATCAACAATAAACGATTACAGACTCTTAAGCAACTATCTTGTGCTCTTTTATGTCAATTTTACTTAATTTTCTCAATTTGGGATGCCATTTCCCCTTAGAGAGACTCCTCATTTATAGGGAGAGCTGCCACTGCTAAGTTGTCAAGCCCAAGCAATACCCCGTGATCCAAGTTCAGTGCCTCGCATCCACTTGTTTTTGAGTTTACACTAGTGGAAATGGTCAAAGACTGGTCACACGCTACTGGAGATAGTCAGACACTGGTCACATACTGCTGGAGATAGAGACTAGTCACATACTGCTGGAGAAGGTCAGAGACTGATCACATTGCTGGAGATAGTCAGAGACTGGTCACATACTGCTGGAGATAGTCGGACACTGGTCACATACTGCTGGAAATAGAGACTGGTCACATACTGCTGGAGAAGGTCAGAGACTGATCACATTGCTGCAGAAGGTAAAAGACTGGTCACATATTGCTGGAGATAGTCAGAGACTGGTCACACACTGCTAAAGATGGTCAGAGACTGGTCACACATTGCTGGGGATGGTCAGAAACTGGTCACACACAACTGGAGATGCTCAGAGACAAGTGATACACTGCTGAAGATGGTCAGAGACTGGTCACATACTGCCAGAGATGGTCAGAGACTAATGATACACTGCTGGAGATGGTCCAAGACTGGTCACATACTGCTGGAGATGGTCAGAGACAAGTAATACACTGCTGGAGATGGTCAAAGATTAGTGATACACTGCTGGAGATGGGCAGAGACTGGTCACACACTGCTGGAGATAGCTAGAGACTGTTCACATACTGCTGAAGATAGTCAGACTCTGGTCACACACTGCTGGGGATGGTAAGAAACTGATCACACACTGCTATAGATGATCAGAGACTGGTCATGGACTGCTGGAGAAGGTCAGAGACTAGTCACATACTGCTGGAAATGGTCAGAGACTGGTCACACACTGTTGGATGGTCAGAGACTAGTGATACACTGCTGGAGATGGAGAGAGACTGGCCACCAGGGGCGGACTGACCATTTGGAAACTCGGGCACTGCCGAGGGCCCAGGGTCAGTAGGGGGCCCCATGAGATGCCCCTGGTACCTTTTTCATAGGCTTTTTTGAGTTTGGGCAAGGACACAGGGGCCCCATGATCCCCATTGCCCCATGAGTTGTCAGTCCGCCCCTGATGGCCACACACTGCTGGAAATAGTCAGAGACTGGTCACATACTGCTGGAGAAGGTCAGAAACTGGTGACATACTGCTAGAGATAGTCAGACACTGCAAGAGATGGTCAGAGACTAATGATACACTGTTGGAGATGCTCAGAGACTGGTCACACACTGTTGGAGATGCTCAGAGTCTGGTCATGCACTGCTGGATATGGTCAGAGCCTGTTGACATGCTACAGCTGCAGTTGATGGCTGGGGATATGCTGCGGCAGAATGTTGGTGATATTTAACATGAAACTACTAGAGATAACTGACATTAAAACATCTAAAAATCAATGCTTTCACTACTGGCCACTGGGCCCCAAGGGACGCACAGTTAGTACCAATGGGTCGCATGCAGCCATTGGGCAACAAGTTGTATTGTAGGGTTCCAGAGGAAGAAAGTGAATGGGATGTGGAAGCATGACTGCTAAGGGCAGGAAGAAACCATTTAATTGGTTCACCTTAAGACAACGATCCACGGAAAACAATCTACCTACCAAAACACATCCCAGGTTGGGATAGGTTGCCGTTGCAAAGAATCTGCGACGTCCTGCATATCAGTGTCTCCGACCACTAAACATTTCCCTCAATGCATCACATTTAGAAGATGCAATTAACATAATTAGTAATAATTTACTTCTGTTTTTATTATTCCAGATCATTACATCCAATGCAGATTCCTTCTGATATCCCTTTAATTAACTTTCCCTCTCACCAGAGACACCCTTATCTGTCTCTTACCAGCGAATCTCTCGCACAGCCCTCAGCCCAATGGGGGAAATGTATCACCAATTCATTCCCATTTTGCACAGTACATTAATTTTAGTCTTCTGAAAATTAGGTGTGTTATCTTCATATACCTTGAAGCGTTTCTCTCTCCTTGAAATAGCAATCATAATTTGGCGGGGGAGTGTAGAATTAATATCAACTTGCGTTGCTTGTCTACCTATTTCTAGCCATGCAGAATTAATGGCAAACTCCACACTGATGGAAAAGGAAAACTATAATTTTGAGAAACATTTTTTCAGATATTTAATATATGTGGATTGGAAATATTAAAAGCCCAACTGAACTTGCTGTTTAGATTAGCTAAACACATTCCAGGGGTATCAGCATAAAAGGTGTGCATGAGCTTCTAGTTTATATACAGTGTAAGAAAGGACCACCCGTGGAGTCCGGCATATGGAATGGCCTTAGTCGCCGCTCCGGCCGTGCCCACTGACACGTTTCGTCCTGCCCTCCAGGGGCTTGATGAAGCCCCCATTGGGCGGGGCAAAACATGTCAGAGGGAATGCCCGGAGCGGCGGCTGAGGCCATTTCATATACCGGACTCCACGGGTGGTCCTTTCTTACACTGTATGTGTGCTACTGGAATTATTTGCGGGTCACCGCTCCCCCTTCTGATGCCGGTGTGGTGATTCCTTTCTGTTTTCCAGCTTGGAGCAGTGCCAGCATGACTCATACTAGGTTGTTATAGTGGAGCTCCACCCAAAAGGGGAAGTTCAGCTTTAAGGACTAAAAAGTGTGAAAAAACCTCCTGCGCTCCTAACTAAGTCCCTACAGATTACTAAAGGAGGTACACAGGGGCGGACTGACAACTCATGGGGCCCCGGGCAATAGGGGATCATGGGGCCCCTGTGTCCTTGCTCAAACTCAAAAAAGCCTATGAAAAAGGTACCAGGGACATTTCATGGGGCCCCCTACTGACCCCGGGCCCTCGGGCAGTGCCCGAGTTTCCAAATGGTCAGTCCGCCCCTGGAGGTACAGCTGCCAACATCCAATCATATACCAAATGATAAGCGTGAAAAACCAACAAAATTGATGTGGCGCTAATTCCATATGAACCCAAAAACTTAAAAGAAAATAAAAAATTATTATTAATATTAACAAATATAAAGTGACAATGGTATATACTAGAGATGAGCGAAGTATTCAAAAATTCGATTCGGCTGATTCGGCGAATTCGAGGAATAAATTCGATTCGAGGCGAATATATTCGCTGCGAAATTAACTTATAAAAAGGGTGTTTCTAGGCTTCAGAGAGCCTTTATATTAGTGCAGAACACTGTACCTTTAATTTAAATGCCCTTGGAGTCTGCCGGGGAAGAGAAATAATACTGTCAGTCAGTATGACATGCAGATGAGTGCCATCGATCTTAGAATCACCGCACACTTCACTCATTTGGGCAGTCACGGGGCCAAAACCAGAGTGTGGAGCCACAGTGTGGCGGTGGAGGCAGCAGCAATGGGAGGCCATACAGCACCCTATGACAAAATGGAACCCACCAGCAGTGTGAGGAGACCTGAAAGTGGCACATGGCAGAGTGTGGCGATGGAGACAGCAGCAATGGGAGGCCGTACAGGGACCCATGAGACACTCTGGACCTGGCAGCAGCATGAGGAGGCGGTACAGGGGCCCATGACAGATTACGGGCCTGGCAGCAGCATGAGGAGTCGGTACGGGGGCCCATGGCAGATTACGGGCCTGGCAGCAGCAATGGGAGGCCCGTAATCTGCCAGCACCCTATGACAAAATGGAACCCACCAGCAGTGTGAGGAGACCTGAAAGTGGCACATGGCAGAGTGTGGCGATGGAGACAGCAGCAATGGGAGGCCGAACAGGGACCCATGAGAGACTCTGGACCTGGCAGCAGCATGAGGAGGCGGTACGGGGGCCAATGGCAGATTACGGGCCTGGCAGCAGCAATGGGAGGCCCGTAATCTGCCAGCACCCTATGACAAAATGGAACCCACCAGCAGTGTGAGGAGACCTGAAAGTGGCACATGGCAGAGTGTGGTGATGGAGACAGCAGCAATGGGAGGCCGTACAGGGACCCATGAGACACTCTGGACCTGGCAGCAGCATGAGGAGGCGGTACGGGGGCCCATGGCAGATTACGGGCCTGGCAGCAGCAATGGGAGGCCCGTAATCTGCCAGCACCCTATGACAAAATGGAACCCACCAGCAGTGTGAGGAGACCTGAAAGTGGCACATGGCAGAGTGTGGCGATGGAGACAGCAGCAATGGGAGGCCGTACAGGGACCCATGACACACTCTGGACCTGGCAGCAGCAAGAGGAGGCGGTACAGGGGCCCATGGCAGAGTGGCGAAGCGTAAGCAGCTTAAATTGAAGGCCATACAGAGGCCTATGTTAAAAATAATAACATGTTTGGGGCATGATTCATGGCGGATTTAGTCAGTTGTGTCAGGAACTGGTGGTTTGAAATCCAGACTAATCCACGCCTGATTCATTTTCACAAACGTGAGTCTCTCCACACTTTGGGTGGACAGTCGTGTCCTCCGCGGAGTTACAATACCTCCTGCCGCACTAAACACGCGCTCCGATGCCACGCTACTGGCCGGGCATGACAGCCTTTCAAGGGCAAATTCAGCTAGTTGGGGCCAAAGGTCAAGTTTCGTTGCCCAGTAGTCAAGGGGATTGTCTACCTCGGTTGGCAGGGTGCTGTCCAAGTAGGCCCAAGCCTGTTGTTTGAGGTCCTGCTCCAGGTCCACCTGATGCTGCTGCTGCGGCTGGTTAGTAGTTTCCTCACTGCGCTGGTGAAGAAAGGTACTCATCATCGACTGCAGACTGAGGCAGCCGCTGCTGGTGGAGCTGCCACTGCTCCTACCACCCCACCCCTCCCCTGCTGCCATGGCAGCGGAACGCGAGCGCACAGGGCCCACAGTGTCTGAGGATGGACGTTGGCGCAGAAAGGCAGAGACCAACTGACTACATAGGTGGTTTTTATAGTACGTTATTTTGGCCTCCCTCTCAGCAGGTGTGAAAAAAAGGCCACCATTTTTGAATGGTAGCGAGGGTCCAACAAGGTGGACAGCCAAAAGTCATCCCTCTGTCTGATGGTTATTATTCGGGCTGTCGCTACGCAAGCAACCGAGCATGCTATGGGCCATTTGTGCCAAGGAATGCGAGGGACTCCCTGCCTCCATCTCCACAGCATACTGCCACGGTGCGTCTGGGTCCTCTGTCTCCTCCTCCTCCTCTACCAGATGCTCCTGCTCCTCCACTCCTGTCCGCTGAGTGGAAAAACCACCCATTTCACTCAATAAATCCTGAGCACCAATGTCCTCCTCTACCTCCTCCTCTTCTTCCTGTCCTGCCCCCACAGGGGTCATGTGGCGTTGAGATCTGTGCGCCACGTCTACCGCACCCTGACCAGCCATTGTTAACAGCATTTGTTCCAGGACGTGCAACAGAGGAATGACGTCGTTCATCCCATAGTCCTGCCGACTCACGAATAGCGTGGCCTCCTCAAAGGGCCTGAGCAAGCGGCAGGTGTCACGCAAGCAGCTGCCAATGGCTGACATCTAAGTTACACAGGGGGAGTACCTTTATCCGCTTGTAACATCAGGAAATCGGTGATGGCCTTTCGCTGTTCGTAAAGGCGGTCTAACATATGTAGGGTTGAATTCCACCTTGTTGCAACGTCACAGCATGAGGAGTCGGTACGGGGGGCCCATGGCAGATTACGGGCCTGGCAGCAGCAATGGGAGGCCCGTAATCTGCCAGCACCCTATGACAAAATGGAACCCACCAGCAGTGTGAGGAGACCTGAAAGTGGCACATGGCAGAGTGTGGCGATGGAGACAGCAGCAATGGGAGGCCGTACAGGGACCCATGACACACTCTGGACCTGGCAGCAGCATGAGGAGGCGGTACAGGGGCCCATGACAGATTACGGGCCTGGCAGCAGCATGAGGAGTCGGTACGGGGGCCCATGGCAGATTACGGGCCTGGCAGCAGCAATGGGAGGCCCATAATCTGCCAGCACCCTATGATGACAAAATGGAACCCACCAGCAGTGTGAGGAGACCTGAAAGTGGCACATGGCAGAGTGTGGCGATGGAGACAGCAGCAATGGGAGGCCGTACAGGGACCCATGACAGATTACCGGGCCTGTGGAGCAGGGCATGCATGAGGAGGCGGTACAGGGGCCCATGGCAGATTACGGGCCTGGCAGCAGCAATGGGAGGCCCGTAATCTGCCAGCACCCTATGACAAAATGGAACCCACCAGCAGTGTGAGGAGACCTGAAAGTGGCACATGGCAGAGAGTGGCGATGGAGACAGCAGCAATGGGAGGCCGTACAGGGACCCATGACAGATTACGGACCTGGCAGCAGCAGCATGAGGAGGCGGTACAGGGGCCCATGACAGATTACGGGCCTGGCAGCAGCAATGGGAGGCCCGTAATCTGCCAGCACCCTGTGACAAAATGGAACCCACCAGCAGTGTGAGGAGACCTGAAAGTGGCACATGGCAGAGAGTGTGGCGATGGAGACAGCAGAAATGGGAGGCCGTACAGGGACCCATGACAGATTACGGGCCTGGCAGCAGCATGAGGAGGCGGTACAGGGGCCCATGACAGATTACGGGCCTGGCAGCAGCAATGGGAGGCCCATAATCTGCCAGCACCCTATGACAAAATGGAACCCACCAGCAGTGTGAGGAGACCTGAAAGTGGCACATGGCAGAGTGTGGCGATGGAGACAGCAGCAATGGGAGGCCGTACAGGGACCCATGACAGATTACGGGGGACCTGGCAGCAGCAGGATGAGGAGGCGGTACAGGGGCCCATGGCAGATTACGGGCCTGGCAGCAGCAATGGGAGGCCCGTAATCTGCCAGCACCCTATGACAAAATGGAACCCACCAGCAGTGTGAGGAGACCTGAAAGTGGCACATGGCAGAGTGTGGCGATGGAGACATGGGCCCCCTGGCCACGCTTGACTTTCTGGCCACATAGTCGACATACGGCTACGTTTACTTCCTCGGGCGGCTTGACGAAAAAATTGCCGGCCACACCGCCGAGTAGGAAACTTTGCCCCCGCTACTCCTCACTGGCTGACTGCTACTTCCTCCGTGCACACCGGCACCACTACTGGCCGTGGTGGTAGGCTGCAGTGGAGCTGGTGCTCTACTCCGTGGCCGTTTGCCTCCACTGACACTGCTGCGACCCTGCTGCTGCCTCCTGGGCAACCCACCGACTGTTTTGCTCGCTGCCAAGCTGGCACCTCTCTTCTCCTGATGATGCGGAAGCAATAGCCTGATGACGACGAGGCTGCCAAGTGCGATCAGCCTCATCATCATCAATTAGGGTCTCCGCCTCACTACTAGCCCCCTCGGCTGCGTGTGGGTCAGGAGACAGACCTGTCTCTAGACCGGCTACCGAGCCACTCTCCTCGCCAGTACTTCTTTCGCCTGGCTGCTGAAGAGGCGGATGTCTCCCCCCGTTCCTGACCGCCCTCTGTTAGCTCTTCCTCACTGTACAGTGGGGCTGAGCCCACAGCATGCGATACTTCGCTTGGTGAGGGAACACCAAAGGACAGGGGCAGGTAGAGGACACGTGATTTCAGTGGGCTTGCTCCCGGGCCATGCCAACTAACGGTTGTGTCTGACGTACCCACCGACCGTTGGCTGTAGGTGTCAGAGGTGACCTGGGAAGAGGAAGACGACCGAGCCAACCAATCGATGACGGCAGGGTTGTCGGTGGAGACACGACCGCTGGATGACACCGGGAGCACTGGCCTCTGGCTGCGACTAGTGAGTGCTGCCTCGACCCCTTCCTCTGCTGCCACGTCTGCTCGCTCCTGAAAAACATTGCCTCCTCTGCCACTCCTCTGCGTGTTGTCTGACATACTCTTTAATTCAACGATTCTGTGTCCCTGAGTAACGATTCTGTGTCCCTGAGTAACAGTTCTGTGTCTGTCCCTGAGTAACAATTCTGTGTCCCTGAGTAACAGTTCTGTGTCCCTGAGTAACAATTCTGTGTCCCTGAGTAACAATTCTGTGTCCCTGAGTAACAATTCTGTGTCCCTCAGTAACAATTCTGTGTCCCTCAGTAACAATTCTGTGTCCCTGTCCCTGAGTAACAATTCTGTGTCCCTGAGTAACAATTCTGTGTCCCTCAGTAACAATTCTGTGTCTGTCCCTGAGTAACAATTCTGTGTCCCTGAGTAACAGTTCTGTGTCCCTGAGTAACAATTCTGTGTCCCTGAGTAACAATTCTGTGTCCCTGAGTAACAATTCTGTGTCCCTGAGTAACAATTCTGTGTCCCCTGAGTAACAATTCTGTGTCCCTCAGTAACAATTCTGTGTCCCTCAGTAACAATTCTGTGTCCCTCAGTAACAATTCTGTGTCTGTCCCTGAGTAACAATTCTGTGTCCCTCAGTAACAATTCTGTGTCCCTCAGTAACAATTCTGTTCTCTGTCCCTGAGTAACAATTCTGTGTCCCTGAGTAACAATTCTGTGTCCCTGAGTAACAATTCTGTGTCCCTGAGTAACAATTCTGTGTCCCTGAGTAACAATTCTGTGTCCCTGAGTAACAATTCTGTGTCCCCTGAGTAACAATTCTGTGTCCCTGAGTAACAATTCTGTGTCCCTGAGTAACAATTCTGTGTCCCTGAGTAACAATTCTGTGTCCCTGAGTAACAATTCTGTGTCCCTGAGTAACAATTCTGTGTCCCTCAGTAACAATTCTGTGTCCCTGTCCCTCAGTAACAATTTCTGTGTCCCTGAGTAACAATTCTGTGTCCCTGAGTAACAATTCTGTGTCCCTGAGTAACAATTCTGTGTCCCTGAGTAACAATTCTGTGTCCCTGAGTAACAATTCTGTGTCCCTGAGTAACAATTCTGTGTCCCTGAGTAACAATTCTGTGTCCCTCAGTAACAATTCTGTGTCTGTCCCTGAGTAACAATTCTGTGTCCCTCAATAACAATTCTGTGTCCCTCAGTAACAATTCTCTGTGTGTCCCTCAGTAACAATTCTGTGTCTGTCCCCTGAGTAACAATTCTGTGTCCCTGAGTAACAAGTTCTGTGTCCCTGAGTAACAATTCTGTGTCCCTGAGTAACAATTCTGTGTCTGTCCCCTGAGTAACAATTCTGTGTCCCCTGAGTAACAATTCTGTGTCCCTCAGTAACAATTCTGTGTCCCTGAGTAACAATTCTGTGTCCCTGAGTAACAATTCTGTGTCCCTCAGTAACAATTCTGTGTGTCCCTCAGTAACAATTCTGTGTCCCTGAGTAACAATTCTGTGTCCCTGAGTAACAAATTCTGTGTCCCTGAGTAACAATTCTGTGTCCCTGAGTAACAATTCTGTGTCCCTGAGTAACAATTCTGTGTCCCTCAGTAACAATTCTGTGTCCCTCAGTAACAATTCTGTGTCCCTCAGTAGTAACAATTCTGTGTCTGTCCCTGAGTAACAATTCTGTGTCCCTCAGTAACAATTCTGTGTCCCTCAGTAACAATTCTCTGTGTCTGTCCCTGAGTAACAATTCTGTGTCCCTGAGTAACATTCTGTTCTGTGTCCCTGAGTAACAATTCTGTGTCCCTGAGTAACAATTCTGTGTCCCTGAGTAACAATTCTGTGTCCCTCAGTAACAATTCTGTGTCCCTGAGTAACAATTCTGTGTCCCTGAGTAACAATTCTGTGTCCCTCAGTAACAATTCTGTGTCCCTCAGTAACAATTCTGTGTCTGTCCCTGAGTAACAATTCTGTGTCCCTCAGTAACAATTCTGTGTCCCTCAGTAACAATTCTGTGTCCCTCTGAGTAACAATTCTGTGTCTGTCCCTGAGTAACAATTCTGTGTCCCTGAGTAACACAATTCTGTGTCCCTGAGTAACAATTCTGTGTCCCTGAGTAACAATTCTGTGTCCCTGAGTAACAATTCTGTGTCCCTGAGTAACAATTCTGTGTCCCTGAGTAACAATTCTCTGTGTCCCTCAGTAACAATTCTGTGTCCCTCAGTAACAAATTCTGTGTCTGTCCCTGAGTAACAATTCTGTGTCCCTCAGTAACAATTCTGTGTCCCTCAGTAACAATTCTGTTCCCTCAGTAACAATTCTGTGTCTGTCCCTGAGTAACAATTCTGTGTCCCTGAGTAACAATTCTGTGTCCCTGAGTAACAATTCTGTGTCCCTGAGTAACAATTTCTGTGTCCCTGAGTAACAATTCTGTGTCCCTGAGTAACAATTCTGTGTCCCTCAGTAACAATTCTGTGTCCCTGAGTAACAATTCTGTGTCCCTCAGTAACAATTCTGTGTCCCTGTAACAATTCTGTGTCCCTGAGTAACAATTCTGTGTCCCTGAGTAACAATTCTGTGTCCCTCAGTAACAATTCTGTGTCTGTCCCCTGAGTAACAATTCTGTGTCCCTGAGTAACAATTCTGTGTCTGTGTCCCTGAGTAACAATTCTGTGTCCCTGAGTAACAATTCTGTGTCCCTGAGTAACAATTCTGTGTCTGTCCCTGAGTACAATTCTGTGTCCCTGAGTAACAATTCTGTGTCCCTGAGTAACAATTCTGTGTCCCTGAGTAACAATTCTGTGTCCCTGAGTAACAATTCTGTGTGTCCCTGAGTAACAATTCTGTGTCCCTCAGTAACAATTCTGTGTGTCCTGTCCCTGAGTAAACAATTCTGTGTCCCTGAGTAACAATTCTGTGTCCCTGAGTAACAATTCTGTGTCCCCTGAGTAACATTCTGTGTCTGTCCCTCAGTAACAATTCTGTGTCCCTGAGTAACAATTCTGTGTCCCTGAGTAACAATTCTGTGTCCCTCAGTAGTAACAATTCTGTGTCCCTGAAGTAACAATTCTGTGTCCCTCAGTAACAATTCTGTGTCTGTCCCTGAGTAACAATTCTGTTCTGTCCCTCAGTAACAATTCTGTGTCCCTGAGTAACAATTCTGTGTCCCCCTCAGTAAAAATTCTGTGTCTGTCCCTGTAACAAGTAACAATCCTGTGTCCCTGTGGCCCTAAGTAAACATTTCTGTGTCCCAAAAAAAAAAAAAAAAAAAAAAAAAAAAAAAAAAAAAAAAAAAAAAAAAAAAAAAAAAAAAAAAAAAAAAAAAAAAAAAAAAAAAAAAAAAAAAAAAAAAAAAAAAAAAAAAAAAAAAAAAAAAAAAAAAAAAAAAACCCCCCCCCCCCCCCCCCCCCCCCCCCCCCCCCCCCCCCCCCCCCCCCCCCCCCCCCCCCCCCCCCCCCCCCCCCCCCCCCCCCCCCCCCCCCCCCCCCCCCCCCCCCCCCCCCCCCCCCCCCCCCCCCCCCCCCCCCCCCCCCCCCCCCCCCCCCCCCCCCCCCCCCCCCCCCCCCCCCCCCCCCCCCCCCCCCCCCCCCCCCCCCCCCCCCCCCCCCCCCCCCCCCCCCCCCCCCCCCCCCCCCCCCCCCCCCCCCCCCCCCCCCCCCCCCCCCCCCCCCCCCCCCCCCCCCCCCCCCCCCCCCCCCCCCCCCCCCCCCCCCCCCCCCCCCCCCCCCCCCCCCCCCCCCCCCCCCCCCCCCCCCCCCCCCCCCCCCCCCCCCCCCCCCCCCCCCCCCCCCCCCCCCCCCCCCCCCCCCCCCCCCCCCCCCCCCCCCCCCCCCCCCCCCCCCCCCCCCCCCCCCCCCCCCCCCCCCCCCCCCCCCCCCCCCCCCCCCCCCCCCCCCCCCCCCCCCCCCCCCCCCCCCCCCCCCCCCCCCCCCCCCCCCCCCCCCCCCCCCCCCCCCCCCCCCCCCCCCCCCCCCCCCCCCCCCCCCCCCCCCCCCCCCCCCCCCCCCCCCCCCCCCCCCCCCCCCCCCCCCCCCCCCCCCCCCCCCCCCCCCCCCCCCCCCCCCCCCCCCCCCCCCCCCCCCCCCCCCCCCCCCCCCCCCCCCCCCCCCCCCCCCCCCCCCCCCCCCCCCCCCCCCCCCCCCCCCCCCCCCCCCCCCCCCCCCCCCCCCCCCCCCCCCCCCCCCCCCCCCCCCCCCCCCCCCCCCCCCCCCCCCCCCCCCCCCCCCCCCCCCCCCCCCCCCCCCCCCCCCCCCCCCCCCCCCCCCCCCCCCCCCCCCCCCCCCCCCCCCCCCCCCCCCCCCCCCCCCCCCCCCCCCCCCCCCCCCCCCCCCCCCCCCCCCCCCCCCCCCCCCCCCCCCCCCCCCCCCCCCCCCCCCCCCCCCCCCCCCCCCCCCCCCCCCCCCCCCCCCCCCCCCCCCCCCCCCCCCCCCCCCCCCCCCCCCCCCCCCCCCCCCCCCCCCCCCCCCCCCCCCCCCCCCCCCCCCCCCCCCCCCCCCCCCCCCCCCCCCCCCCCCCCCCCCCCCCCCCCCCCCCCCCCCCCCCCCCCCCCCCCCCCCCCCCCCCCCCCCCCCCCCCCCCCCCCCCCCCCCCCCCCCCCCCCCCCCCCCCCCCCCCCCCCCCCCCCCCCCCCCCCCCCCCCCCCCCCCCCCCCCCCCCCCCCCCCCCCCCCCCCCCCCCCCCCCCCCCCCCCCCCCCCCCCCCCCCCCCCCCCCCCCCCCCCCCCCCCCCCCCCCCCCCCCCCCCCCCCCCCCCCCCCCCCCCCCCCCCCCCCCCCCCCCCCCCCCCCCCCCCCCCCCCCCCCCCCCCCCCCCCCCCCCCCCCCCCCCCCCCCCCCCCCCCCCCCCCCCCCCCCCCCCCCCCCCCCCCCCCCCCCCCCCCCCCCCCCCCCCCCCCCCCCCCCCCCCCCCCCCCCCCCCCCCCCCCCCCCCCCCCCCCCCCCCCCCCCCCCCCCCCCCCCCCCCCCCCCCCCCCCCCCCCCCCCCCCCCCCCCCCCCCCCCCCCCCCCCCCCCCCCCCCCCCCCCCCCCCCCCCCCCCCCCCCCCCCCCCCCCCCCCCCCCCCCCCCCCCCCCCCCCCCCCCCCCCCCCCCCCCCCCCCCCCCCCCCCCCCCCCCCCCCCCCCCCCCCCCCCCCCCCCCCCCCCCCCCCCCCCCCCCCCCCCCCCCCCCCCCCCCCCCCCCCCCCCCCCCCCCCCCCCCCCCCCCCCCCCCCCCCCCCCCCCCCCCCCCCCCCCCCCCCCCCCCCCCCCCCCCCCCCCCCCCCCCCCCCCCCCCCCCCCCCCCCCCCCCCCCCCCCCCCCCCCCCCCCCCCCCCCCCCCCCCCCCCCCCCCCCCCCCCCCCCCCCCCCCCCCCCCCCCCCCCCCCCCCCCCCCCCCCCCCCCCCCCCCCCCCCCCCCCCCCCCCCCCCCCCCCCCCCCCCCCCCCCCCCCCCCCCCCCCCCCCCCCCCCCCCCCCCCCCCCCCCCCCCCCCCCCCCCCCCCCCCCCCCCCCCCCCCCCCCCCCCCCCCCCCCCCCCCCCCCCCCCCCCCCCCCCCCCCCCCCCCCCCCCCCCCCCCCCCCCCCCCCCCCCCCCCCCCCCCCCCCCCCCCCCCCCCCCCCCCCCCCCCCCCCCCCCCCCCCCCCCCCCCCCCCCCCCCCCCCCCCCCCCCCCCCCCCCCCCCCCCCCCCCCCCCCCCCCCCCCCCCCCCCCCCCCCCCCCCCCCCCCCCCCCCCCCCCCCCCCCCCCCCCCCCCCCCCCCCCCCCCCCCCCCCCCCCCCCCCCCCCCCCCCCCCCCCCCCCCCCCCCCCCCCCCCCCCCCCCCCCCCCCCCCCCCCCCCCCCCCCCCCCCCCCCCCCCCCCCCCCCCCCCCCCCCCCCCCCCCCCCCCCCCCCCCCCCCCCCCCCCCCCCCCCCCCCCCCCCCCCCCCCCCCCCCCCCCCCCCCCCCCCCCCCCCCCCCCCCCCCCCCCCCCCCCCCCCCCCCCCCCCCCCCCCCCCCCCCCCCCCCCCCCCCCCCCCCCCCCCCCCCCCCCCCCCCCCCCCCCCCCCCCCCCCCCCCCCCCCCCCCCCCCCCCCCCCCCCCCCCCCCCCCCCCCCCCCCCCCCCCCCCCCCCCCCCCCCCCCCCCCCCCCCCCCCCCCCCCCCCCCCCCCCCCCCCCCCCCCCCCCCCCCCCCCCCCCCCCCCCCCCCCCCCCCCCCCCCCCCCCCCCCCCCCCCCCCCCCCCCCCCCCCCCCCCCCCCCCCCCCCCCCCCCCCCCCCCCCCCCCCCCCCCCCCCCCCCCCCCCCCCCCCCCCCCCCCCCCCCCCCCCCCCCCCCCCCCCCCCCCCCCCCCCCCCCCCCCCCCCCCCCCCCCCCCCCCCCCCCCCCCCCCCCCCCCCCCCCCCCCCCCCCCCCCCCCCCCCCCCCCCCCCCCCCCCCCCCCCCCCCCCCCCCCCCCCCCCCCCCCCCCCCCCCCCCCCCCCCCCCCCCCCCCCCCCCCCCCCCCCCCCCCCCCCCCCCCCCCCCCCCCCCCCCCCCCCCCCCCCCCCCCCCCCCCCCCCCCCCCCCCCCCCCCCCCCCCCCCCCCCCCCCCCCCCCCCCCCCCCCCCCCCCCCCCCCCCCCCCCCCCCCCCCCCCCCCCCCCCCCCCCCCCCCCCCCCCCCCCCCCCCCCCCCCCCCCCCCCCCCCCCCCCCCCCCCCCCCCCCCCCCCCCCCCCCCCCCCCCCCCCCCCCCCCCCCCCCCCCCCCCCCCCCCCCCCCCCCCCCCCCCCCCCCCCCCCCCCCCCCCCCCCCCCCCCCCCCCCCCCCCCCCCCCCCCCCCCCCCCCCCCCCCCCCCCCCCCCCCCCCCCCCCCCCCCCCCCCCCCCCCCCCCCCCCCCCCCCCCCCCCCCCCCCCCCCCCCCCCCCCCCCCCCCCCCCCCCCCCCCCCCCCCCCCCCCCCCCCCCCCCCCCCCCCCCCCCCCCCCCCCCCCCCCCCCCCCCCCCCCCCCCCCCCCCCACCCCCCCCCCCCCCCCCCCCCCCCCCCCCCCCCCCCCCCCCCCCCCCCCCCCCCCCCCCCCCCCCCCCCCCCCCCCCCCCCCCCCCCCCCCCCCCCCCCCCCCCCCCCCCCCCCCCCCCCCCCCCCCCCCCCCCCCCCCCCCCCCCCCCCCCCCCCCCCCCCCCCCCCCCCCCCCCCCCCCCCCCCCCCCCCCCCCCCCCCCCCCCCCCCCCCCCCCCCCCCCCCCCCCCCCCCCCCCCCCCCCCCCCCCCCCCCCCCCCCCCCCCCCCCCCCCCCCCCCCCCCCCCCCCCCCCCCCCCCCCCCCCCCCCCCCCCCCCCCCCCCCCCCCCCCCCCCCCCCCCCCCCCCCCCCCCCCCCCCCCCCCCCCCCCCCCCCCCCCCCCCCCCCCCCCCCCCCCCCCCCCCCCCCCCCCCCCCCCCCCCCCCCCCCCCCCCCCCCCCCCCCCCCCCCCCCCCCCCCCCCCCCCCCCCCCCCCCCCCCCCCCCCCCCCCCCCCCCCCCCCCCCCCCCCCCCCCCCCCCCCCCCCCCCCCCCCCCCCCCCCCCCCCCCCCCCCCCCCCCCCCCCCCCCCCCCCCCCCCCCCCCCCCCCCCCCCCCCCCCCCCCCCCCCCCCCCCCCCCCCCCCCCCCCCCCCCCCCCCCCCCCCCCCCCCCCCCCCCCCCCCCCCCCCCCCCCCCCCCCCCCCCCCCCCCCCCCCCCCCCCCCCCCCCCCCCCCCCCCCCCCCCCCCCCCCCCCCCCCCCCCCCCCCCCCCCCCCCCCCCCCCCCCCCCCCCCCCCCCCCCCCCCCCCCCCCCCCCCCCCCCCCCCCCCCCCCCCCCCCCCCCCCCCCCCCCCCCCCCCCCCCCCCCCCCCCCCCCCCCCCCCCCCCCCCCCCCCCCCCCCCCCCCCCCCCCCCCCCCCCCCCCCCCCCCCCCCCCCCCCCCCCCCCCCCCCCCCCCCCCCCCCCCCCCCCCCCCCCCCCCCCCCCCCCCCCCCCCCCCCCCCCCCCCCCCCCCCCCCCCCCCCCCCCCCCCCCCCCCCCCCCCCCCCCCCCCCCCCCCCCCCCCCCCCCCCCCCCCCCCCCCCCCCCCCCCCCCCCCCCCCCCCCCCCCCCCCCCCCCCCCCCCCCCCCCCCCCCCCCCCCCCCCCCCCCCCCCCCCCCCCCCCCCCCCCCCCCCCCCCCCCCCCCCCCCCCCCCCCCCCCCCCCCCCCCCCCCCCCCCCCCCCCCCCCCCCCCCCCCCCCCCCCCCCCCCCCCCCCCCCCCCCCCCCCCCCCCCCCCCCCCCCCCCCCCCCCCCCCCCCCCCCCCCCCCCCCCCCCCCCCCCCCCCCCCCCCCCCCCCCCCCCCCCCCCCCCCCCCCCCCCCCCCCCCCCCCCCCCCCCCCCCCCCCCCCCCCCCCCCCCCCCCCCCCCCCCCCCCCCCCCCCCCCCCCCCCCCCCCCCCCACCCCCCCCCCCCCCCCCCCCCCCCCCCCCCCCCCCCCCCCCCCCCCCCCCCCCCCCCCCCCCCCCCCCCCCCCCCCCCCCCCCCCCCCCCCCCCCCCCCCCCCCCCCCCCCCCCCCCCCCCCCCCCCCCCCCCCCCCCCCCCCCCCCCCCCCCCCCCCCCCCCCCCCCCCCCCCCCCCCCCCCCCCCCCCCCCCCCCCCCCCCCCCCCCCCCCCCCCCCCCCCCCCCCCCCCCCCCCCCCCCCCCCCCCCCCCCCCCCCCCCCCCCCCCCCCCCCCCCCCCCCCCCCCCCCCCCCCCCCCCCCCCCCCCCCCCCCCCCCCCCCCCCCCCCCCCCCCCCCCCCCCCCCCCCCCCCCCCCCCCCCCCCCCCCCCCCCCCCCCCCCCCCCCCCCCCCCCCCCCCCCCCCCCCCCCCCCCCCCCCCCCCCCCCCCCCCCCCCCCCCCCCCCCCCCCCCCCCCCCCCCCCCCCCCCCCCCCCCCCCCCCCCCCCCCCCCCCCCCCCCCCCCCCCCCCCCCCCCCCCCCCCCCCCCCCCCCCCCCCCCCCCCCCCCCCCCCCCCCCCCCCCCCCCCCCCCCCCCCCCCCCCCCCCCCCCCCCCCCCCCCCCCCCCCCCCCCCCCCCCCCCCCCCCCCCCCCCCCCCCCCCCCCCCCCCCCCCCCCCCCCCCCCCCCCCCCCCCCCCCCCCCCCCCCCCCCCCCCCCCCCCCCCCCCCCCCCCCCCCCCCCCCCCCCCCCCCCCCCCCCCCCCCCCCCCCCCCCCCCCCCCCCCCCCCCCCCCCCCCCCCCCCCCCCCCCCCCCCCCCCCCCCCCCCCCCCCCCCCCCCCCCCCCCCCCCCCCCCCCCCCCCCCCCCCCCCCCCCCCCCCCCCCCCCCCCCCCCCCCCCCCCCCCCCCCCCCCCCCCCCCCCCCCCCCCCCCCCCCCCCCCCCCCCCCCCCCCCCCCCCCCCCCCCCCCCCCCCCCCCCCCCCCCCCCCCCCCCCCCCCCCCCCCCCCCCCCCCCCCCCCCCCCCCCCCCCCCCCCCCCCCCCCCCCCCCCCCCCCCCCCCCCCCCCCCCCCCCCCCCCCCCCCCCCCCCCCCCCCCCCCCCCCCCCCCCCCCCCCCCCCCCCCCCCCCCCCCCCCCCCCCCCCCCCCCCCCCCCCCCCCCCCCCCCCCCCCCCCCCCCCCCCCCCCCCCCCCCCCCCCCCCCCCCCCCCCCCCCCCCCCCCCCCCCCCCCCCCCCCCCCCCCCCCCCCCCCCCCCCCCCCCCCCCCCCCCCCCCCCCCCCCCCCCCCCCCCCCCCCCCCCCCCCCCCCCCCCCCCCCCCCCCCCCCCCCCCCCCCCCCCCCCCCCCCCCCCCCCCCCCCCCCCCCCCCCCCCCCCCCCCCCCCCCCCCCCCCCCCCCCCCCCCCCCCCCCCCCCCCCCCCCCCCCCCCCCCCCCCCCCCCCCCCCCCCCCCCCCCCCCCCCCCCCCCCCCCCCCCCCCCCCCCCCCCCCCCCCCCCCCCCCCCCCCCCCCCCCCCCCCCCCCCCCCCCCCCCCCCCCCCCCCCCCCCCCCCCCCCCCCCCCCCCCCCCCCCCCCCCCCCCCCCCCCCCCCCCCCCCCCCCCCCCCCCCCCCCCCCCCCCCCCCCCCCCCCCCCCCCCCCCCCCCCCCCCCCCCCCCCCCCCCCCCCCCCCCCCCCCCCCCCCCCCCCCCCCCCCCCCCCCCCCCCCCCCCCCCCCCCCCCCCCCCCCCCCCCCCCCCCCCCCCCCCCCCCCCCCCCCCCCCCCCCCCCCCCCCCCCCCCCCCCCCCCCCCCCCCCCCCCCCCCCCCCCCCCCCCCCCCCCCCCCCCCCCCCCCCCCCCCCCCCCCCCCCCCCCCCCCCCCCCCCCCCCCCCCCCCCCCCCCCCCCCCCCCCCCCCCCCCCCCCCACCCCCCCCCCCCCCCCCCCCCCCCCCCCCCCCCCCCCCCCCCCCCCCCCCCCCCCCCCCCCCCCCCCCCCCCCCCCCCCCCCCCCCCCCCCCCCCCCCCCCCCCCCCCCCCCCCCCCCCCCCCCCCCCCCCCCCCCCCCCCCCCCCCCCCCCCCCCCCCCCCCCCCCCCCCCCCCCCCCCCCCCCCCCCCCCCCCCCCCCCCCCCCCCCCCCCCCCCCCCCCCCCCCCCCCCCCCCCCCCCCCCCCCCCCCCCCCCCCCCCCCCCCCCCCCCCCCCCCCCCCCCCCCCCCCCCCCCCCCCCCCCCCCCCCCCCCCCCCCCCCCCCCCCCCCCCCCCCCCCCCCCCCCCCCCCCCCCCCCCCCCCCCCCCCCCCCCCCCCCCCCCCCCCCCCCCCCCCCCCCCCCCCCCCCCCCCCCCCCCCCCCCCCCCCCCCCCCCCCCCCCCCCCCCCCCCCCCCCCCCCCCCCCCCCCCCCCCCCCCCCCCCCCCCCCCCCCCCCCCCCCCCCCCCCCCCCCCCCCCCCCCCCCCCCCCCCCCCCCCCCCCCCCCCCCCCCCCCCCCCCCCCCCCCCCCCCCCCCCCCCCCCCCCCCCCCCCCCCCCCCCCCCCCCCCCCCCCCCCCCCCCCCCCCCCCCCCCCCCCCCCCCCCCCCCCCCCCCCCCCCCCCCCCCCCCCCCCCCCCCCCCCCCCCCCCCCCCCCCCCCCCCCCCCCCCCCCCCCCCCCCCCCCCCCCCCCCCCCCCCCCCCCCCCCCCCCCCCCCCCCCCCCCCCCCCCCCCCCCCCCCCCCCCCCCCCCCCCCCCCCCCCCCCCCCCCCCCCCCCCCCCCCCCCCCCCCCCCCCCCCCCCCCCCCCCCCCCCCCCCCCCCCCCCCCCCCCCCCCCCCCCCCCCCCCCCCCCCCCCCCCCCCCCCCCCCCCCCCCCCCCCCCCCCCCCCCCCCCCCCCCCCCCCCCCCCCCCCCCCCCCCCCCCCCCCCCCCCCCCCCCCCCCCCCCCCCCCCCCCCCCCCCCCCCCCCCCCCCCCCCCCCCCCCCCCCCCCCCCCCCCCCCCCCCCCCCCCCCCCCCCCCCCCCCCCCCCCCCCCCCCCCCCCCCCCCCCCCCCCCCCCCCCCCCCCCCCCCCCCCCCCCCCCCCCCCCCCCCCCCCCCCCCCCCCCCCCCCCCCCCCCCCCCCCCCCCCCCCCCCCCCCCCCCCCCCCCCCCCCCCCCCCCCCCCCCCCCCCCCCCCCCCCCCCCCCCCCCCCCCCCCCCCCCCCCCCCCCCCCCCCCCCCCCCCCCCCCCCCCCCCCCCCCCCCCCCCCCCCCCCCCCCCCCCCCCCCCCCCCCCCCCCCCCCCCCCCCCCCCCCCCCCCCCCCCCCCCCCCCCCCCCCCCCCCCCCCCCCCCCCCCCCCCCCCCCCCCCCCCCCCCCCCCCCCCCCCCCCCCCCCCCCCCCCCCCCCCCCCCACAAAAAAACCCACCCTCCCCCCAATGACAGGTGACCTTCCCCAAACCCCCTAAAACCCCCAGTAACCTTCCCGCCCCCCCCCTAACAAACGTAAGCCCCCCCCTCAACACCCCACCCCCCCAACCCCCCCGGTAAAGACCTCTCCCAATAAGTACCAAACTACCCCAGAACACCTTTGTAAAAAAATCAACAAAAACCCACCAACAAAACCCCTCAACCCCCCACACAAAACCCCCTGTGTCAGTCCCCAAAAACCCCAACCCCTGGAAAGTAAAATTCTGTGTCCCAACAGTAAAACCCTGTTCCCCAGTAACACTTCCCAAGTAAAAAAAAACCACCCTACAAAGAAACAATTCCCCCTGAAAAGTAAAAATTCTGTGTCCCAAAGTAACAACCTGACCCTGAGTAACAACAAACAAAATAAATTCATCCTCCCCCCATAAACCCCCCTTTCTCCCCAAACAATCATGTGTCCCTAGTAAAAACAATTCCTTACCAACCCTGAGTAACAATTCTGTGTCCCACGTAACAGTTCCCCTGAGTAACTGTAAATTCTGTGGCCGAAAACAGAAAAACCTAAAAAAAAATTCCCCCCCCTCAGTAACAATTCTGTGTCCCTCATAAACAAAATTCCCTATAACAAACAAACCCACCCCGAGTAACATAATTCTCCCCCCCCCTCAGTAACAACACCCCCCCATATAACATTAACCCATCCCCCCTGTACCCCAATTCTGTGTCTCAGTAACAGTTCTGTGTCCAAGTAAAAATACCCCAGTCTGTGTCTCTGAGTAAAGTTCTGTGTCCCTGAAAAAAAAAACCTGTGTCCCTCAGTAACAATTCTGTGTCCCCACAGTAACAATTCTGTGTCCCTCAGTAACAATTTTGTGTCCCCCAGTAACAGTTCCCCCCTGAATAACAACAATTCTGTGTCTGTCCCTGAGTAAAAAATTCAGTGTCCCTGAGTAACAGTTCTGTGAAAAAAAAGTAAAAAATTCTGTGTCCCTATCGAAAAAAAACAAAAAGAACAAATTTGTGTCCCTAAGTAACGATTCCCCCTAAAGTCTCTTTGGCCCAAACTCTGTCCCTAATACAGAGAGGTCTGTCTCTCTTGAATGACCGGAGGCTAATGGAGAATTCTAAGATGGCCGCAATTTATAGCTCGACCATTACACAGTGCTGGCTGGCTGGCTGCTGATTGACTAATGCGATCACATGTCATGAATGAATGCATTATGGGTCAGCGCGCCTTGTCTGCGCGCCTTCCCAGAGATCCCAGCTCCGTCGCCACACATTTCGCCGCCATTTTTTGGAAAATTTCGATTCGCGCATCCGAAGTCTGCTAATTTTCGGATTCGGATCCCAATATTCGAAACAAAATTCCCAATATTATTTCCCAATATTCGAAACAAATTCCACTTCGCCATGTTCGATTCGCTCATCTCTAGTATATACCAAAGTAAAGTGAATTACATCAACATATGCAAAAAAATAAATAAAAAAGGACTAATATATCATAAATAAATCAATATGCAAATTAATAATAAATGCACACAGAACATATCCGTGATAATGCAAACAGGTGTCTATAACACTCATACAATACTAGTGCAACAAAGTGCCAAAAAATAAGTCCAAATTGGGACTAATAACAATAGTGCCCAGAATGATCAAAAAAAAATGGATCTGATAGTGATACAAGGACAGAAACACTGAACAAAAAACACAAAGTCCAAAATGGGACTAAACACAGAGGTGCTCCAACCCCTCCAACAGTGCTCTAGGCACAAATCCCAAAGAACATACAAACAGCAACCACTGTGTCACTATAATGAACACAGTGCATCCAACAGTGCATGTATGATAAAGTGAATAAATGTGTTCAAATATATAAACGCATAACCAGGGGCGGATTGACAACTCATGGGGCCCCTGGGCAATAGGGGATCATGGGGCCCCTGTGTCCTTGCCCAAACTCAAAAAAGCCTATGTAAAAGGTACCAGGGGCATCTCATGGGGCCCCCTACTGACCCCAGGCCCTCGGGCAGTGCCCGAGTTTCCAAACGGTCAGTCCACCCCTGCGCATAAAACATAAATACAAATAGAAACACAGATACGTCCCTTGAGGTGTATACACCTAAATATATCAAACAATGCGCTCCTTGGGAGGCGATCGCCTAAGTGTTCTCCCTCCCCGTAGTCTTTTGGGACACATGACAGGTCCCAGAAGACAACAGTCCATTCATGAAGCGCAGAGCTACTCACGCATGCGCAGTGGATACCCGGCTGTGAAGCCGCAAGCTGTTACAGCCGGGTGCCCACACTGAAGATGCCGGCCTCCTGGAATCCAGGACGGCCGGTGAAACGGGCTGCGGGGGACACACCACCACGGGACCGAGGGACAGGTAAGTGGCTGTTTTTTAAAAGTCAGCAGCTACAGTTTTTGTAGCTGCTGACTTTTATATTTTGATAGGTTGAGTGGAACTCCACTTTAACCACTTCAATACCTGGCACTTTCACCCCTTCCTGCCCAGGCCAATTTTCAGCTTTCAGCGCTGTCGCACTTTGAATGACAATTGCACGGTCATGCAACACTGCACCCATCTGACATTTTTATAATTGTTTCCACACAAATAGAGCTTTCTTTTGGTGGTATTTAATCACCACTGAGTTTTGGATTTTTTCCTAAACAAAAAAACAAAAAACACCTTAAACTTTTGAAAAACAAACGCACTTTTTTTTCGTTTCTGTTATACAATTTTGCAAATAAGCAACATTTCTTCATAAATTTAGGTCAAAATGTATTCTGCTACATTTCTTTGGTGAAAATTATAATAACAATTGAATTTGTATTTTATTTTCAAATGTTTCTATTATTTTTTTTTTTATAAAATGTTTTTCCTTTTTTTTACTATTTTATTTTTCAGCACACTGTGACCAAAGCAATACAATTTTACCATAGTAACATTGAGCTACTCTGGGCAAGTGATCAGGTTTTTTTTTTAACACATTATGATTGCTAATACCGATGTATTTCATTGATATTTGCAAACATTGTTACTGAATAAAACAGATTCATTCAGTCTTTTGTTGTGATTAGCTGTGATTGGGCAAAGCTGATCACATAATACAGATGGGCTGTGATTGGCCCTGTCTGTATCATGTGACTGCCTCGACCAGTCACAGCTAACAACATAATTGTATACAATTGATGGCATGACAGGAAGCCATCCATTGTATACAATTGACATGTGATCCAGTAGTGATATGTCATCAGCTGTCTCCTGCGGGCCCCGGGGCCGCGTGAGAAACTCGTTTTGACAGGATGTCATATGACACCCAGTCCCAATGGCTAGTGTCCCGCCCAGTCGTCAATCTGCTATAGGCCAGGCCGGAAAGGGGTTAAGCTTGTAGTTTCTTTTCTTTATAAAGCAGCCACAGTTTGAGTAGAAAAGCCTGTCCCCTGCCAGCTTCTTGCAGAGAATGATCATACTCTTAGTGGTGAAGCAGTTGTCCCTCTGCAGAGATCCAATCAGAATGTTTGGTATACTCCCTGGATCCTGGCTTCCACCTGGAGGGGGTCTACTGTAACATTACTGACCACCTATTATACTGCCACTTATTGGAGACTTGACAGATGCGCTCATATACTCATTTTCCATGTGAGTGCAATATTTAGGATTCCATGGATGAACTTGGGTTCAATCCGAATCCATGCCTGGCTGAATCCAGAAAGAAGCCATCAGTACCAGCCCAAGCAATTGCAACCAGCAAGTTGCCCACTCTACAGCTGCACATAAACAAAAAAGGCCAGGATGCTCATACCATCATTGACCTAAAAGCCTCATGGCTCCATTAGGTCAATAACATTGACCTAATAATAATAATTAGGTCAATAACATTGACCTAAAATTGTCAGTGCATTAGGTCAATAACATTGACCTAATGCACTGACAATTTTCTTCTGAATTTAGACTGAAGCCAAGCTCATTCTTAATCATAATTTTCTACTCTACCCAAAACTAGAACAGTGCTAAAAGATGGAGTAATGACTGAAATACAAACCCCCATCCACCATGTTAACCCATAGCAAGCCAATGAGGCATTTTATATTTTCACAACACAACCCGTTGCTACATTGACTGACAATTAAAGTGATAAGCAGAAAATACCTCAAATGGCCAATGGGATATTATAATCCTCTTTAATCATGGGAAAGCTAAAGCTGAGTTTTGAAGATTGCTTATATATTTTATTAATCAAATATTTAGTTTAACTATAGATGAGCTTGGGTTTAATCCAAATCCATGTTGGTCTAAACCCAGAAGGAAGCGGCCAGCTCCATCAGATGGGGTCAGAGCACTCCTTGCCCCACAATTGATGGGGCCAATATGGCCATATTAGATCAATACCATTGACTGAATGTGCTGGCAACTTCCTTCTGGTTTCGGACTGAACCAAAGCTTATCCCTGGCCATAACCATTCCCTACTCTACCCAAAACTAGAATAGCACTAAAAAAGGGACTAATGACTGAAACCCACATCCCTATCTTTTGTGTCAGCCCATAGCAAACGTATTGCATCATTTTTTATTTTCTCAACACAACCCTTTGCTACATTGACTGACAATTAAAGGGATAAGTACAAAATACCTCAAATGGCCAATGGGATATTATAATCCTCTTTAATCATGGGAAAGCTAAAGTTGAGATTCGATGATTGCTAATATGTTTTATTATAAATTTTTAGGATAACTAGGGATGAACTTGGGTTTGATCCAAGTCCATGTTGGTCTAAACCCAGAAGGAAGCAGTCAGTACCAGTTCCATCAGATGGGGTCAGAGCATTCCTTGCCCCACAATTGATGGGGCCAATATGGCCATATTAGGTCGATACCATTGACTGAATGTGCTGACAACTTCCTTCTGGTTTCGAACTGAACCCAAGCTTATCCCTGGCTATAACCATTCCCTACTCTACCCAAAACTAGAATAGCACTAAAAGAGGGACTAATGACTGAACCCACATCCCTATCTATCGTGTCAGCCCATA